GGTAATAATTTTTAAAAGATTGAAAGTTTTTGATCTCTTTTCATTTTAGAATCCTAAAATAAATGTTTTTTTACAAATAAATATTATTATTTGTATAATACTATTATTTATTATAAAAAATTATTATTTGTACAATAATTAACTACACATGTTGATAGATATTTTATGCTTTAAATTATATTTGTATTAATTTTAAAATAAGTTCATTTCACTGGAAAAAAGAGAATAATCACAAATTTTCCAATCAATAATGTTTTAAATTACTACTAAAATGATATATTATTACATTATCATTTAATTATGGAATAATAATTTCGTTAATTTTTTGTAATTATTTATATTCATAGTATATATTTCAATTTTGTATCAAAAATGTGTTTTTGTCCTCTCATCTTGGAAAATATAGGTTTTTGCCACTTTTTGCCACTTTGCTTGGCAAAAACCTGTTTTTGCCAGGACGGTTTTTACCGGTATTTACCATGGTTTTTTCCACCTGCGGCAAAATCTTGCCAACCCTGCTTGATATAGAGATTATAAATTGCACTGACTTATTTCTTTCAATTATGATGAACTGCAGACTTTAAGACTATAAGAGGATAGAAAGTTTTGCTAAAGTATTAAATAAAAACTTTATAATCTTGAATTTTTTCTATTTTTTTTATAAATAAAATACAATTGAACTTTATTTATTTGATCTTTTTTCTTTTGAATATTTTTATTTGAAGTATCCCTCCTTCCAAAATCTGAATAAAATATTGTCATAATGCAACTAGAGGACTTCAATAATTGATGAGGTCTTGAAAATAATAAACGCTGTTTGCACTCCATTCAGGGGTATAAATTAAGAAAATTTAGTCACTGGTTCGCAAACCATTAACTAGGACACATTTTCATTGGTTTATTTATTTGTCTGAATTTGATTTTTTTTATAAAGGAAAGTTAATGAAGTTAATTTTAATAAAAAATTATAACACCAAAATGCGTTATTATTAGAATTATGACGAAGTATGCTGGACATTAACTCAGACCAAACAACAAAATTGAAAATTAAAAAGAACAAAAATGTATACAATTCCTTCATACCTATGGCTAGTCCAGTGGATCACTAAATATTAACTCATGGTTGTCTGTGTCAAATTAGTGGTCTGACATTTAGCTGACTGCATGTCCACATAGAATTGATTGTTTTTTGTAACTATCAAACTTTGTAAGTGGGTTACTTCGGTTTTGTTTTAGAAATTTAGGTTTTCTTTGTTTCATTCATCTTTTAATAATTACTAGCCTCCTCATGCTTCTTATTGACTGCTTAAAGCAGAGACCACCAAATTTCTTTTCTCACTGAACACCAAATTTTTTTTTAAAATATCATATTGTTTCCTTTGTAAAAAAATGATAAAAAAGAAAAGAAATTACCTGTTTTTTAAATAATTTATTTTATTTTAAAAATACCACATAAATGAGAAGGATGTGCTTGATGATGCTTGGCTAGATTAGAAATGTTTACTTGAAATTTGTTAGTTTCATTCTTAAATCACTTTAATCGCTAAAAAAAAAAAAAACTAATTATTTTAAAAAATGTGCTGGAATGAGAAATTAAATTAGATATAGACTATTATAAAAATTTTACTTACGATGTATATTGTTATTACAAATGGCATTTTGGATATACTGCATTGCTGTATATACAATACTGCATTACCAATTTGTGATTGAATAGCACTAGTTCATCGACCCCCTAAGGTTCAATATCGACAGCTTTGGTGACCCCTGACTTAAAGAAATGTGATTATGCTATCTGTGTAAGAGAAATTTAATTTTGTGGTATCAATGAAATGTAAATCAACACACAAAGAATGTGAATCAGCACAGCTTGTGATTAAGTATCAGATGTGGGTTTGTACAACTAGTTAAATAAAAAACTTTGGGGGGGGGGAATACTTATCTGAGACTATAGTGAAAGTGCATTTTAAAGTGAAATAGCTTTGTACGGCCATTTAAATAATATTTATTAAATAGTCGTAATCAATAGTATATAGCATAATTATTAAGAAAATATAAACTTGGTTTTCAGAGTGAATTAATGAAAACACTTGAAGGAAGTTTGGTCTCAATTACAACTGCTAAAATTAAGTAATTAATTCTATTATTTTATCAAAGATTGACAACCAGGTGTGGAAAGTAAGCCACGAAACTTAAAAAAGTGGTTGAAGACGCAATGTTGATATCGTAAAAATTTATATTTAATTATTATTGGTGTTAATGGAATTATAGTAGTAGTGTTATATATATATTTTTTAAAAATATTAATTTGTTTTGAAGGCCAGTCAATTCTTTTCATGGTAAATATTCTTGATTTATATTTGATATATTTTTAAAGTAAAAATTTTTAGATTGAAAATCTAATTGTAATCAGAAATTAGTGATCCGTGAATATTTGGCGTTAATTAAAATTTCTTTACAAAATATTTAATTATTTTGCCTTATTTCATAAGTGATCCTTTAAAAAAAAAAAAAAAAAATTTTTTTTAAGACGAACATTCTAAAATTTTATCTAGGAACATCCACATACTAGCACAATTTTCGTTTAAAGATTCTTTGGTTTTAATTAAAGGAGGAGTAATTAACCTGGTTAACATAATTTGAACATTTGTTTTAGAACCATTAAATAAACATTAATTATAATCAATTCTCTTGTAAAATTTTTTGCATAAAATTGTTATTAAGAGAAAGTCATTTATAACTCATTAACCTCTTAACCCTTGTGGTTGAGAACATAGAAGCATTTTTGGAAAACCTTAAGAAGTCTTACTATCCATTCTATTAATCTTCACATTTTTAGAATTTTAGACTAATATTTAGCACTTCCAACAGGATATCTTGATTGATTTCCACTTATTGACGATCTGCCTGTGTAAACANATATATATATATATATATATATATATAATATTTTTGTAACATTACAATGCATATAGAAATTTAAAAAAGTCGTGTAATAGTTTTTCCCCCACTGAATGAAAAATATATAAATACCCGTCTTTTTGCAAATACTAATGAAATTTTAGTTTACGTTTTTGTACTATACTAACGTTTCAAATGGTTGGAATACTAGGACCTATAAAATATTTTGATGCCATCTATTTATGATTGACCTAGCTAATATGTTTCAATCAGTTCATTCAGATTAATAACATTCAACTCCTAGTTTAATAGAACTATCTCGTCAAACTTTTTACTACATTCATTCAACAGGACTTCTTATCTGGTTTCTGGGACTCGACAGTGCTGCTCAGAGGACACTATACCGCAGGAGAAACTGTTCATCGCTAATTCTGTTTCCCTTGTAACTGATTTAAACTTTAAAGTATAGAAAAAGTGAGTTCAGCCAAACCTAGAGTAAGCTATGAAGTTTTAATTGCTGAAAATTAAAAATTTGAAGATATCAAAATGCAAACAAATTATTGGAAGAGAACTTCTCCCATTTCTTAATCCTAAGTTATCTCATCATTTGTTTTCATTTTGATATTTTGAAATTTTTTTTTCCTTCGGTATTTGAAATTTAATGGCTTATTTTAAGTTTCTCTTAACTCACTTTTTCTATACTATAAATTCTAAATTTTACTTAGAATTTGAGATGAAAGAGAATTTGTGTTGAAATGTTTTCCGCTATAAAGTGTCCTCTTTAAGAGAAATTGTAATGGTATTTACAATATTTAATGAAAATATATCGTATATTCAATAAATATTGTGAATACCATTAAGTTTAAAACTGGAACCTCTATCGCTTTAAATGTTTGCATCATGCAGTAGAAAAATATTATGACCTGCACTATAATATCAAGATTATCCTTATTAAAAGCACCTATCTGTTCAAGGAGGTTTTCGACAAAAAATTACCTATTTAAACAGGTAATTCGCAGTTCTTATAGGATTATTCGCGGTTCCAATAAGACTGCTGATTCTTCCTCTAATTCGCGGAATTCCGTGAATCTCAAGACCTCACTGTGGGCCAGAAGACCATGATCTTTGGCCAAAAATCAAAAATTAAATTTTCAACTAAAATATGGGTAGGCAGTTTTAATATAGCCCAAATTAAGTATTCATAATCATTCCAAATATTATAATTTACTTTTTGGACCGACAAGAGCATAATGTAATAAAAAATATGTTAAATTTTTTTTTTTTTAAATTTAACTTTTAAATTTTTATTTCAGAAATGTATGTAGGAATTTCACCTTACTGTTACATTTTTATCAGATTAATTAGTCTGAAATTATAGCACAATTTTTCAATTTGTTGGATTAGTTTATAATCTTGACAAACTTATAGTTTATATCTTATCATTTATTGACATTTTACAATGTTTGAATCACTTTCGAAACTTAGTTCCGAAAAGTTCCACGAGGTAATTAGCTAAACTTTTTTGTTGTTGTATTCTTTGATGTTTCTTCTTTCGAAAAAATCTGCCCCATTTTGCCCGTATTGCAAAGGTGGACTAAATATACCGAAAAACAAAAATTATGTTTTTTTTTAATCATGTTTTCGCGTTATTTTGTAATTAATTCCTCTAATCTAAAAGTTCGCTGGTAGTTCCGCTAATCTAAAAATTTCGTAACTTACAAAAATTCTCTTAAACAAGACTACCCTTACCAGCACCCTCTCTCTTTTTTTTCTTAAGTTTTTATTCACGCGCAATAAAAATTTTTTTACGCAGATTTGTTTGAGAAAAACGCAATTTTGGATAGATTTCAATAAAACTTGAATTTATTTTTTATTTGTCTACGATTCGACAGATTTGATTTGATTCGTTCATTTGCGTCGCACTAGAGCTGCACAATGGGCTATTGGCGACGGTCTGGGAAACA